AGTGGCGTAAACAGAGAGGTGGCCAACCCTTGACTTGGCAGAGGAGTATGAAGGAGATCACGAAACGCTTGGGTGCTGTCGGTGCTACTCGCCTTCCAGGATGGGGACGGCGTGATCCTCACTGTGCCTGGTTGGAGACACTACAAGATATGGCTGCCAACCGATGTCAATGGCGTTCTTGTTGTCAGTTTCTATCCAGATTTCCTGAATGGGTGTCTGGAGGTGTAGGCATCTCGGAATGACTGTTGTAAGTTAGCACTAAGTCCCTTCCCCGTCCACCTTAACTCTTTTCTCTATAATAGGGCAGTGAAGCATCGGTGTTGAACACTGATGTCATGCTGTCGATGATGATGATGTCTGGCCAAGCATTGCGGACTATAATGTGCTCTCAAGTATTGTTTTCTGCCGAATTCATAAGTTAGTACATGCGAAGCAAGCTATTGATAAATGGTGAATTGGCAAAAGAAAAATCGTTCAGCAGCAGCACCCTCTCGACGCCTAACTGCCATGCCACCAAAAAGTGGCACGAGGGCTGGGACATTGCCAGGTGGCCCAATCCTAGACAGGAGAAGTTGAGAAGCAGAGGTCGGGTTCGAACCACGGACCTTCCGACTAGTAAATTGGTGCTCCAACCACTGAGCCATCTCGCTGTGACTTGGCAACAGAGAAGGAAAGAGATTGTAAAAAGCATGCGTGTGTTAACGATGTGATAGGGATCTGAGGACAAGAAACCTCAAGCTATCTGTGTACCTTGCTAGCGTTTGTACTGCTAATCCATCTACACCAAGTCTAGCCAAATGCTTCATTATGCGGGCGCCTCAATCTGTTCATCCCTGTTGCGCCATCTCCTAAAAACATTGATGGTACTTTGCAAGTACCATACGAATGTTGCCAAATGTGACGTCCTCACTTGCTTTCCTCCCGTTTTCCTTCTTCGTTTTGTTTAGACGCATCGCGGAATTTCCCACGGCCAGCGAACGATCCTCCTCAGGTCTGATCGAGTGGAACAGCGTGGCGGATGCGGTTGCCGCGCTTGCATTTACAAATCACTATTCCATACCCTACCCGAAAGGACGCTTTCCGTTCATAATGAAGCTATCGTTCTCGAACGCACCCGTCCAAGACCGATCCTATCCGGGTTCACGAAAATCCAATAACTACGATATGAAAAAACCAATAAGTTCTTCCAGCGAATCAAGTTATCGTTAGTCAGTCGACAGTCACCTTCGATTTTATTCGGTACGTTGCAATCGTCTAGGCATTGTCTTGAGACACACAGTCGATGGTTGGGGTTTAAATTCATTTTGAACGGCCTGTCAGGATGTACATCCTGGACGTCAACCGAACGCGGATTATGCCACCGGTCTTTTAGTTCTGCTTAGGTTGGCTCGGACCGACTCCAGTCGCGTTCACGATAGCGGACCTTCGTCGCCAGCTGCTCTCTGAACTTTAAGCCCAAACAGTGAATAAAACAGTTGACACACATTGATGGGTAACGTCATGCAATTGACAAATTTCACGCAACAGATGTTGCCGAGGGATTCCAGGACCGTTGAGTTGTTGAACACCGCTGACAGTTAACTTTCTGGGCTCAACTTCACCTAGAACTCTGTCTAATCAACACTCTGATTTATCCTGTCTTACAAATACTTCGTGCTGATCAATCAAACACAATAACAACTAATATATATATATATATATGTCTGTTTTGATCCCCATGATTGAACTTGGTTTTCTAATCATTTGGCTATTTGGTTCAGGCGTCGTTTCTCATGTCGCCATGGAGACGCGCTGACCCACAGATATTGGTTAGATAAACACGATTATCATAGACATTTTCAGGCTTATTGTGGAATCCTGGTGGACAGCTTGAGTGTGCACACAGCTAATTCAACCACCTCACTAGTTACATTCATTCACGTCAATCTATCCCCTGGTGTCCTTCTGTGGGTGTACGTGATCACTGTTTGCCATAGACCCACCACATGCATTACGAGTATTCCCGCTGTATTGACCTCACCTTTTGTATATCGACAGCCCACTCGACCAATATCTACTCATGTCCTTTACAACACAGCCCCGGAACATCACCTGTTTTGTTCTGTAGACTGTTTGTCATAAACAGATGCAATTGAGTTGCAATGTCTAGCTGACCTCACCTCAACACCACAACCTTCTCTCATTTAGAAACAGAGCATTTACACATCCAATCTGCCATTTTCCATTTCCCACTGCGTTCCAGCAGATAGCGAGAACACCAACAACAACAAAAAACACCTACACGTCACTCTCCTCAAAAACCAACAACGACATCAATCACTACAAACGCACGCGTTCTAGTCGCCTTCAATCGTCACAAGATGCAATCACGCAACAATAGACAATCAACCAGTCAACCACATTTCCCCGATGTCCATCTGTTCGCGCCTTGTTTATTGTTGTTTCCCGTCCAACTACCCGTTATTAGTTGCCCGAAATTTATTGCGAACCCACATGCATTTCATATTCCGTTGCAATTGCTTTACACACCCACACACACGTTTTTAGTACAACTATCCCAGCTATTACCGCTATTCTTCCATTTGGCACACACATACACCCCCCTTTATAAGCTTCATACATTCTTGCCCTAATCATGCGTTCAGAAGTCGATGTTCATTCGCTACGCTAAATATATGTCATTGATCGCAAACACGACTGAACGGGGGGAGGTGTGAACGCGGCCGGTCCTCATCGCTGATATGCGATCGGGTGTCTTCGAACTCTTGTGTATAGCTCAGCTTTCGGCTTTCCGGTGGCCCTTTTCATTCGGCTGTCGAGCTGTTTATTGTCGCACCACGAAGTCACATGACCCCGTTGTTTCTAGGCTTCAATGTGTTACTAGACCACTAGAGAGTTGTCTTTCCAAAGGATGGGACTGTCACCTCAGTAGTTGTTGTACTCTGATCAGGAGTCGGGACATGGGGGTGGGACATACACTCCTTCCTTCCATGGTTTGGAATTTCCACAAACGCCATTCAGTTGTTGAACATTAGACCTTCCGGGGCACAGTAAAGCAGTCTGCCAAGAACCGAATTATTAATGTGCAAATGAGTAGTTCTCGAACTGTGTCCATTCTGGGTTCGAGTAGAACATAAAGTTGATGGAAACACGGGAACAGTGTTGTCCACCTGTTGAGCCCAAAGATTGACGAAACCCGTGACGTTCGTGAGCTATGGGGGATTTGAGCAACTCCATAATTAGTATGTTCCGTCTGGACATACAATCCTGCTTTCAGGATCTGCTGAGCTTATGGCTGAAGGTGGTGATTGATCTCGTCAAGTTTTCCCATGACATCTAATTTTTTCGCCATGTGGAATCAACCAGTAGTCAGAGGGTACAATCCGAGAAGTTTGGTGCAGTGGGCATTTTGTCTTTCCCAAACGCACAGCTCGGGTGGCCTTCCTGTGCGAGCTCATTGGATGAAAAGTCGGTCAATTGTAACCTGAGTGACGGTGCTATACACTGCTTAAGCGCCAGTTAATCACCCTGGGGAAGCGAAATCAGTCGGAGAGCAAAGTTCAGAAACAGGGCTAATAAATCTCCCATTGGGTGACAAGTTGCATCGCACGAGGTTGCCACTGTTGTCGCTCCGAGAAGTCGGAAACGGAACTTCGGAGAGCATCCGCACCAACCCCGTACGCACATACCCGCATCGAACTGTTTCTCAGAATGTCGGTGTAGCTCAAGTTAGAATGTGGACTACATATAGGTAGTTTCGGCGAGTGTTCGTGTCACGCTCGACCTGTGTGACCTGGAATTTGATCTCACCAATTGCCAAGGTCGGCGAGCGAATCAACGTCTGTCTGATCAGCCACTAATGACGGTGTCCGGGCTACGGGTACACTTCCAAAGAGCATGTGACTACGGAAAGTACTCTGTTCGTGTGTTTGATGGGCAGATTAGCTTTTGTGTCTCGCTGAACGGTAGTGCGACTCTGTATCGGTCCTTGGCTTCCTGCTCCGCCCACTATGGTATACCAAAAGGAACGGTAGCTCTACACAGCCCTTTATGGAGACAAAGGGAAATTATTACAACTGTATTTATAGGGTAGTCACTGGGTGTTCCACAAGGTCGTGCAAGAATCTCCGTGAGGGGAAGAGAAGCGTCGAGTCAAAGATGCTTGACTCGGATTGGCTGGCATTCTGGCCAATCAGGGCATTCCTTCATTTGGTTCGTGTCCTGCACGTGACATCCGTCCAAATGGTGTGATTTTCGGTTATTAGGGGTGGCTGGCCTCCGGACACTAGCTAGGCCGTACTGCAGGCATGCAAATCGGTCAAAACAGGCTATTCAGCGATGGAGTCGGACTGTGCGAGACGCCTATAATTGACACTCATTGTCATCGGGTAACAGATTTTGTGACCAAATGCACCTGTGGTAGGGAAGATTTTAAATATCGCTGGGTGGAGACAGGGTAACAGAATGAGAAGAATAAGTGATTGTGGGTGGAATTCCCTGTCTAGAAACGGAAGTGAGGATATCGTGAGTAACCAGTATGTCGGAGATGAGTGAACTCAACATTACCAGGTGTGACAAGAAGTGGCGGATTCAGTAGGGTTATTGTCCGGACCAGGATGTTGCCAGATCAAGGCTGTAATGTGGCCAAACGGGCGCCTGAACTTCGTCGTGTTGGCAATACCCGTGTTTGTCGTATGGATGAGATAGAGACATCCTTGTGTGTGCATTTGAAGTGACAAATTTAATAGGGCTTGTTTGGTTGGTCGTCGATGCCTACACCGATTGAACGGTGCACCACGCGACCCTAATTTGGGCGGAGAGTGCAGACAGACGGTAACTACACATCAGTATAAAGTCCCAGCCTTTTTATTGGCGTTGCCTTTTTACATTATTTTTTTGGCTCGCTGGCTAACGAAATTTCGCATTGAAAGCTTGCTTTGACTTATGTTGCCCTCCTAGTCTAATGCACTGGTTTCACCCGATTCATTCTTCGGATTATTCTATCCTGACTGATTTGTCAGATAATCTTGGGAGCAAATTGATTTCGCTTAGTGTATTTCGCCTCTGTTCGTCGGGGTTCACTCAAGTTAGGAAACATGAGCTCCATAGTGAGATAGAAGTCACTCATTAAGGCTTATCCTGATGTCAGGAATATTTAATCGGTGACTGACAGGTCGAGTTCCGCCAAATCCAGTACATTTTTACCCTCGATTTCGCTATCAGTTCCCATTGGAGAACGGTCGGAATCTGGCAGGTTAAATGAGTGTTCCGTATGAAATTCGTTAACCTTGTCTCAGTTTAACCCATGAAAGAGTCCAAAGTGAGCTGAATTGACCTGTCCCAGCCGTAACCGACCCGCACACTCTGTTTTCCAACCATAAACATCGTAGCTCGGAAAGATGGCCTCAAAGTAGGTCCTGTAAGCTGTCGAACTAAAAGACGACCCTCGAGTATTCAAAATTATCTCTGCACGTCAATTATTGTTGTCGGTAGAAGGATGGCGGTGTGCTACATATATTCATGCCGGTTGAAGTAAGTTGTAGAGGGGACTAGATTCTAAACACCCAGCGTCCACAATCTTGATTCGTTTAGTGTCTTATTAACGGAAAGCAGCAGATACCAGCCAGTTTATGTATTCCTCCATTCGATGAACTGTTAGACATCAGGTGAATAAAGAACAGATCCAGGAAACTGAAGAGATGGAGGAGACGAGAACCTCCGAGAATGTGCGTAAACTACTCCAGTTGATATACATAGGTCCAAAGACGCATTCGATCAACGAAACAACCACTGATAACAACAGCTCGGTTATCTTTAAAAAAGAGCGCCTAAATCGCTGAGTTTTACACTTACAAAACAGTTCAACTCACCATCTTCAGTTGCTCGGCCGGACCCCCGATTAACAACACAGCCCTGCACAGTGAACTCGGAAATTAGATTGACCCCCCACCGCAGCCAGACTCTTTGGATCGCTTACTTTACGTCATCCTAAGTTGGTCCGTGAAGACTGAAACAGAGAACAACAAGCAATCTTTCGGCCGGGAGGGGGTAGTGTGGACCACATCTTCACACTCCGTCAAGCGCTAGAGCCACGATATGCTTACAGGCGCCCCTCAGTCTTGGTGTTCCTTGGCACCAACCGATTCTGTCGACCGATCACTACTCAACATTTCGTCATTACCAAACCCTTTGTATTCACATGCTCGTGGAGAATTGCAGACGACATTGCTTTCATTTTTTCCGGAGAGCAGAGAGCGTTAGAAGAAGAGTCGACCAACGTCATCCAGTCGTTACACATGGACTTCTCATCCACAAGGTGGAAAGTCATGCTTCGGGACGTAGAATCTTTGAGCATGCTTCAGACTAAAGCTTATGCGGCACCATACGTATCTTGGAAGTTGCGTTACCTCTGCTGGTAGTGGGACGCACAAAGTGAATGCAGGAATCCTAAAGGCCAGAATTGCGTTTACCCATCTGTGCCACTTGTGATGTCAAATATGCATCTCACTGGGTGTTAAAAGGCGTATCAGACAGACTACAGTACGGGTTGTATTACTGTACGACTGAGATACTTGGCCACTCTGATCACGGGTGCCTTCAAACTACAGCTAGAATTGACCGGAATCATCGAATTCGCAATGAGTTGATTAGAAGACTCGTTTTCGGTGAAACAGTGGGTACTCTCCTCAAAGAATGCATCCGGCATTGCGCAAGCTAAGGTGGCCGGGCCCGGTCATCTGCTACCGAGACGAACGCTGTTTTCCATGCCTAATTCGGCGTATAGAATTCCGCATGCCAGAAGGAAATGAAGGATGCTGTCGGTGCCGTTCGTCTTCCGGGGTGGGGTCCACGTGACCCCCTCCCTATGGTTGGCTGGAGGCACTGAACGGTGTGACGACTGACTGATGCCATTGGCTGTCATTTCATATTCAGACTGTCTGATTGTGTTACAGGCGTAGAAGGCGCCTTAAAATGGGACCATTTAGGGAGTGTGTTTGAAAAATGACGTGATAAAAACAGCGGATTAGCCGACAATTTTGTTCAAAGGGAGTCGATGAATACGGTTGAGCGACTTGTGCGTGAAATTTTAACAAATCACAGAATCGACTGATAGTACGACCGGTGGGTGCTGCGTGTATTGCACAGTTATTCCTATTTGATACTTGATCTGTATCGAGAGTTTTGGCGTCTGTGATTTGGAGTATACGAGGAGAACTTGTTAATGCTATACTAGAACCCGAAAACCAGTTGTATGAACGAGAAAACGGAGAGCACTAACAATGTCTGCTTGTTCAGTAAAATTATTACAACAGGTATATATGCAAACAAGGGACCTATCGTTTTGCAGGTACAGTTTGATAAATCCTGTTGTAAGTCCGGATGCAGGTTTCGTGTCTTCTTCGCTGTTGTAACAGCCACACGTAGTCCTGGAGATCCGTGAGTGAAGCGCCGTAAAGTCCTGAGTGGCCCTGCTCCGAGCTGGGCGACGTGAGAAGCTCTGTTGAGTTGTGTTGCTGTGCTGTTATCCTATATGTAGGAACGTTTGCGTGTATGCGAGTGTCAGCACATGATTTGTTGCTACCTTATCGGACGGTATACAGTCGATGTCAGATGAGTCACTCTTGTGTGTCGTGATTTGTACGTGTAAGGAAATAAAGCGAGTCTTGGGATCGAGGGCCTGACTGTGAGCTGTGTAGTCAACTGAGTCACGATTCTGTGACGTGAATTGTGAGTGTATAAAAAAGACAGATCTCGTGATCTAGCGAGTATCGGTGACCTGTACAGTCATGCGTGTGTTGTGTGTGGCGAAAGGGTAGCTACAAACGAGGATCGGAGTTTTCCTTCACTAGTTGCTGCAGTGGCCCATGAGCGTCAAACTTGGAAGCTACTCCGTCCAGCGACCCAGATCCCGCAATGGTGTTGAGTAACATTCGACGTTCTCTCACGTAGTGGGCTGTCCGCATGCCTATTCACGTCTATCATGAAACAGATATATTGATACAGACTTGCGTCCACAGGGCATATAGTCAATCGAGTGAAGAATTCAGTCTGTACCCAGCAGCCAATCACGATCCGGCATCTGCCGAGTGCCGTTTGCCAATGATGCATCTAGAAGGCGTCAGAATTTCCACAATACTGTCTCTTCAAACATTTTAAATAAGATAACCCGTGTGTTTTGCACGTTTAACACATTCGGTGGTGGTTCCTTTTCTGAAACGCTTGCTTCCGAATTTCAGACCAAGAACTGAGATGAGGCACTACCGTCATTACAAGTTTATTCTCAAAAGACAAGGTAACCGTGAAATGACATGACGTCTACACCCATGTCAAGGCAGTGTGTTCGATCACCTAACAGAATATGATTCCGTACAATCAGCATTTTAGAACCCAGGACCTAACACCAGACAAGTATTCCACTCGTTCGCATGCCACCGTTGTGAAGATTCTCTCCCGACTGGTTGCAATCAACAACGTAACTTGAGCCATCAGTGTAGGAAAACTGGTCACCTAGTGTGTATCTGTACCCCATCGAACGGGTGTACCTCACAGGTTCAGAATGCTGAATCAGCAAAACCGGATCAGCATTGTTCGCCATAATTATGGAGAACTAAAAGAACTAGTGCATGTTGAGAAAAACGTTGGTACAGGCACCACCGAACTCAGTACAGTAACCGTTGGAAAATCGTTCAGTTCGATGGAACACCAACAAAACCTACGTAAATACATTGGTGATTCAATACGAGTCGTAGGGAAATGTGGTATATGCTGTGCCGTTCGGCAATGCGTGTTCTCCAAACCTGTGTGATTGGACAGAACTTCGTGGGATTCCTACCTACACTGAAGCCGGTAGCAGGCGATGCAAGGTTTCATGGAATGTTGCCCAAATACGTCCGTGTGTTCGGTGACGAACCCGTAAAGCCGAAAGACATTCAACTGAACCTTATCTTGAGAGCCAATGCTCAGCCAGCGTATGGCTGACTCTGTTTCAAGGTGTATTGATTTCGGATCGAGAATCCTACAAGCGGTAGACAACCTATGGCAGATAGACGGGTGGAGTTAGCTGTTGTTCATTGCATTCCAATGTTTTCAATAAAATTTTTGGGAAAAGATATGTGGGGGAGAAAACAGTCGACTCTGCCGCTGAAATTCTTTACAGAGTGGAATACTGCGATCAGATATACTGAAACTGATGTTCACAGTGAAACGATCTATTGCCTCCAGGGAACCTTAGATAGTTCACTATCCCCAGTCCTCACCACATGATCGTTGCGTTTTCCGCGGGTGCCAAATGACAGTACCGACAAAAGTACACAAGCGGTTTTTGGCGGACAGGCATAACTATTAGGAGAACCAGCTCCGAATGTAACGGGACTACGTAACTGCCAATGGAATAACCGTTTTTCGTTGAGAGACAAATTTCATTGGTTGTGCTTCACTCGCCCTTTGCAGATGAGTTGTATTCTTCGCATTAATTTGACCCGTTTGTACGCGACAGTGATCAATAGATCAGCCGGTTCGCAAGTTCGTCGACTTTTCTGGTTTGGCCAAGCTCATCAGGCGATCCAGCGGCTATCCAGACCGGGATTCACGGTAATAAGAAGGCATTAAGGGACGGTGATCCAGAACAATAACGGGCACACCGTTTTAAATCGATCGAATTTTACCGCTCAGAGGGTGTCGTTGGAGGCACAAGGTAGTCAGAGACTGAAATTTAATATTTAACGTTCTTAGTGATGATCAGCGATTGCTCCAATTTGAGTTCAACTAGAACATAAGATTGATGGAAATTCGGGGGCTGCGCCTGTCTGATGAGCGAGCCTCAAGATTGGTGAAACCGAACGTGGGCTGTCGAAGAGTTTTCAGCAAACGTGTGAGTAGTTTTCCTTATGAAAATAAACTGCGACATCTGCAATATCGTACAAACTGAAACACGAGCTGATCACCGTGCAGCACCAATCATCCTTCAATCACAGAAACCACACCACGTGAGGCTGTGCTTACTTGCTCCTCCAGTGGCAGCTTATCTAGGATCTTGGATTTCATTGGTGCATAGATACCGTCAAAACGACTGTGGATGCTACTGAAGGTGTCATCAGTGACGTTTGTTTGACCAAAATTGAAATTAACTGCTATAATTACGTGTATCTTTGTTCGTGTAAGGACTGGAATATGCCCATGTCCTGCTAATTTCGTTGAGTTTTACACCAAAGAAATGGGGGATTGAATAAAACCCATCATCTGAAAATGTGGTTTGCTGTGCTTCCATAATGTTAGACGACGGACACCAATCGTTTTCCGATTAGGTGATTATTCGTTGAAAGACTTTGGATAGTCAGTTATAACCCCACCGAACGTGACACACATTCGAGTGCCTATGGGAGCTTGTTGCATTTTTTCGAAAGATGCCCGTCAGAGCGTGAGATACTGCGTGCCTCTGATGCGATCGGTCACTCTTAATGTAAGCGAGCCAACAAAGTATACTACCTCCTCGGCGGTGGCTTCTCGTGAGATCAAATAGGACATGCGTTGTGCGCGCTGGCACAAACCAGGATCCCCATACATTCACTACCACCTGTAGCGGTCGTTCACTAGATCACGTGTCACAAACACCCAAACAAACCACGTGACGATTCCGGTCCCACTCGCAAACGTAGCCGACAGCATGTACGCCACAACTTCCCATCCATTTTTGTTTATGCAACTACCACTTGCATCACGCGCCAGGCTTACGAGCTTTAACCAAATTATATCAAGTTGTATTCATGTTTGTGCAATTATCAAACAAGAATGGACACCCCTCTCTTCACATTGTACACAAATCGGCATACAGCTCGGTCCAACACACACTCGCGCGCGCATATGAAACGAAGTCAATCGAGCCCCACAAGGCTCCATGGGTAATCACGGAACACGTGCTACACTGCAGAGAAGAGATGTCCTGCCCGCGTCCGGAACTCCACTCAGGAACTCTCAACAGTTGTCCTCAATTTTTGGGTTATTCTACTTTTCGAATTGTATATCTGTCTATATTTATCAAGGTGTACCTGTTGTTTTGGCAAAGCGGACATTTGTTAATGCTTGTCACCTGATAATCAACCTAATTACGTTAGCCAGATGACTAATACACCCAACCACACTTCAGTTCCGTACGGAATGAGTAAAGCACACTTCAGACGAACCGGTGCCGGAATGGTTAGTACTACAGACTGTTAGGACGAACTTAGTATCCATATGAAGGGTGCTGCCACGCTTGTGGTGTGAACCGCTTGGCGTATGCCATTGAGGAAATTGTTGTGCAAGCTAGCAACTATACTACTCTCATCCAAATCAGTAGCGAGGCTTAGAAACGACTACGTTGTCGGTGCGCCTAAAAACATGTGCGCATCAGTCACTGACTCCGTTTGCTTTCGCGTTAGAAGACGTTTAGCCGAGCACCGACGAACTCGAGGCTACAGCCAATGCTGGTCGGATTGGCATTGGATCCGTGATAGAACAACATGCAAAATTCTCGCATCCTCTGAGATTTGGTTCACCGTTGCAACAGGCGTTTAAACGTTCCGAACAGATCTGTTGCATATCATTAGGTGGTGTTTGCGCAGTATAAGTACTTGAAAAATATCATAAAATTAGATTCATTTGAGTTTCTAGTTAACATCAGAATTCGCAAATGAGTATACTGGATCAGTTACGCACATTGTAGTACTCGAGTGAAACATTTAGTTGATGGGGACCCGCGAACTGCGCCTGCCCAGCCAGCTCCAGAGTAGATACTTTGGTTCTGGAGACTTTTCGGCGACCTCATTAACGTCGTTGCATGGAAACCGTCCACATGGAAACTTCAAGAAGCTTTCCACGACTTTCATCCTCTTTGTCGCCAATCCCTGACGTTTTCGCGGATCCAACGTTGCTCAGGATAAGAGGAGTTAAGTGGCACCACGGCTGATCTAAACAAGTGCCCAGTACAACATTCAGTCCATGCTAGTGTGAGTTATCGCGAGTCAACGACGCATTCACCGCGAATAGCTTACTAGTAGATAATGGCATCCGGAATCCTGGTATCCTGGCGCTGCCGTATAATATCATATCATCATTTGATCCGTCAGTTGAAAATGGACGAATAGTAACGAACGCTTCATTACTACCTCTCAGAACATGTTACATCTCCACAAATTGTTTCGCTATCCCAAAACTTAATTGTGTCGGTAGAACTTTTCTTTGCTTCTGCAGTTTTTTTTAGAATGAATCGAATAAGTTTTTTCTTCACTTACAGTTACTCCTCTATATGTGATTCTCCCTGGACTGAACACCGACTTTAGGGGTTGTCCTGTGAGGGAGAGTGAAGTACCGAAAACAGAGTCACAATGCCAGACAGTGCAATCTACTACCTACTGTTTAAAGGTGCAAAATAACAAAGCTGAAGCGTGACATTCTGGTGTGTTCGCGTTAAAGTCAGTTAGGAAAACATGTGATACACAATCGCCTTGTGCTTTCGAGTCGCTCCACGCGTCGTGCAATTACCATTGGCTCACAGCATCGAGTGAGGAAAGCATTTGCCAATTTTTCCGCTCAGCAGTCAATCCGTGTTCGAGACATTGCGTAAACAGGTTAGCAGTGGCTTTAAGGTCCATTACCAGCTTTGTCCGGTCGACCGTTATCCGGCATATCAAATTAATGAGAATTGGACTGTGGTGTACAATCGTGTGCTCTGTTTTGTCAATAGCATTCCATAGGGGACATCGCCTCGTGCCAAGGTGCATCTAATGGGAAGGTGGTGAACAAAGAACACATTTATGGTCTTGTAGACGAAGACAAAATTGTGCAAACCGCGCAGAATCACATACAAAACTGCAAAGGTCCGGCAGATAACCAAGAAATTCTAAATTCACGAGGGCCCATCTGCTTCTTAGTTGGTCAAAAGATTGCTTCCCTAACACCAGATAAATGAGCACCTACAAAAAGGTAAAAACAACCTCCGTTTGGTTAATTCACAAGGGTTCGTTAAAATCACATGCAACGCTTCTGAAAAAAAAACAGTTGAAATAAAATTATATCATTAACCGGAAACTGCCTGCTGGATAGTCGAGCAACAAATTATGACCACGGATCTGGGTTGTTGCCCAAAAGTAGTTTTCCTCATTGACCGGAGCGAAAAAGTTTCGTCAGTCTTCAGTAGCATGAACTTCCAAAATAGTGTTAGGCCGGTACTCTTTTTCAGACATAAACGTTGAGTTCCAGAATGTTATGCACCAGTTCGTCTCCGAGCACAGGCGCCCAATATTCGCAAAGGACCACGTCACCCTGTAGCACTGCTTTTTGCCAAGAAAGCGTTCACAGAGTGATTGACCTAAAATGGCTTGAGTGTACTGGAACAATTCAATGACACAGCTGCGGAACTTCCCATGCTAAGGTAGCCGATGATCTACTTGCAAGCATCAACAGCAGACATATTGCACTGAGAGAAAACGGTTCGTACTTTTCCCATGATTGTAAGTTCACTCACTTGTGATATATTCTGCCAAGATGACACCCAGAAGTTGTTGTTCTTCAAAGCACAATGAGGTACTTTGAAGCGGCTGTTTTCTATTAAGGTTTACAAATTCTACTATGCATAATATAATAATAATTAATAATAATAATAATAATCGTTCAGCTGTAACGCTCCTTCAGTGCCCAGCTGCTGTGCCGCTCGAAGAGGGCACGAGGTCAGGTTGCCCGACCCTATGCAGGAGCAGTCGGGATGCAGCGATCGCGTTCGAACCATGTACCCTCTTGTCAATATACTGGTGCTCTGACCACTGAGACGTCTCAGTTATATTTCACGACAACAAATCATTCCCATCGCATTGGAGGCGCTCGCTCTGCCACAGAGAGGGTTGACATTTCGAGTGATAAAACTAGATGGACATCCCATGTTGACTGGACCGATTGATTCGGTTTTCGTGAGGCATGGGAAGCGGAGATAAAAGGAGTAACCTCGATCACACAGTACGGCTTTCTTTCCTTACAAGGAGAACATTATCCAGAAATTTTACAGTGGGGGGAACTAATGTCGACGAGATTCCCAGCATAACCGCTGGCGTCGAAAGCATTGGTTGGTCTTCGTCTAGTGATCGTGGCTGGAACGACTATCTCTTGAAACAGAATTAATGTGTTTCTGTGATATCTTGAATTTACTCGATCCAGACTATCTCTTCACATTGCACACAATAAATAGGCATACAGCTCGGTCCAATACACACTCGCGCGCGCATATGAAACGAAGTCAATCGAGCCCCACAAGACTCCATGGGTAATCACGGACACACATGTAGCAGCTGCACTGCAGAGAAGAGATGTCCTGCCCGCGTCCGGAACTCCACTCAGGAACTCTCAACAGTTGTCCTCAAAAGATAAGTCACTTTTTGGCTTATTCCACTTTTCGCATTGTATCTATTTTTATCAAGCGCACCTAACTATTGTATTCATCACATTCAAGTAAGACAGACATTTGTTAGTGCTTGTTACCTTCTGATAATCAACTTAATTACGTCACAACTAGAGCACTAACACTGTCACATCTCTATCCGTTGGTCAGTCTGGCAGGAGGGAATCTGTGGATGCTGCAGAAACATTCTCCAGTACAGCTCAATGGTTTACCCAGGTAGGCAAACTCTTTCACCACGATACGAGCCAGTCTCTGCGATGACGCGCTCTACTGAGCGTCCTGTAGAACCGATTTAGGGGGGTCGGAATTTATCTTTGCATATTAGTCTGGTTAAAACACGATGAACGAACGTTTAATCAATCTCGAGGATAGGAGAAATG